GTCGACGTTAAGTCGACGTTGACAAAATGACGTATATGGTTGGTAAGGGTTGTGACGTCGTAGAGACGTCGATGTAAGGTCGTCGACGTCATTTACCAATATATACCAATAATCGACGTTTATATGACGTGACCATGTCAGCTGGGCAATTTTGAATTACAAACCGTTTCTAGGTGAAAAAACTGTGTGACAGCACCTGTCAGCAGTTTTTTCGAGTTTACCCGCGGCAAAACTTGACAGCTGTTGTCACCAAAAATTGTAATTTATATTTTAATTGTTAACTGTTACTCATGAAATAGTCTTGTCAAATACCATTCGGGATCAAATTTTTCCTGTGAAAAAAATCGAAAAAACACAATGCTAAGTAATATTTTTTAACAAAAAGCATTCGTGCAGGTGCAAAAATCCTCCTCTTCGACTCGGATTTTTGTTGCCACCAGCACTCATGCTTTTTGTTAAAATATTACTTAGCAACGTGTTTTTTCGATTCTTTTCGGAAAAATTAAATGCCCTTATGATATTACTTACGACAATTTGACAGTGTCAGAGTATTTAATTAAGATGTAGTTTTTATTTAGTTAAATAACACATCTAATTTTTTGTCAAGGTGGGGTAAGGATTCGCGGAAATTGCGGAAAAATGTTGGCAAAAAATGTGTGCTTGATTTTAAAAAAGTTTGGCTCTTACACGTACATTTATACATGGTGAAATTTTTAAAAACTTTAATGAAGTTATTTTAGTAATATTAATATTAAAAAAATAATAAATATATTTTCAAGTTTCTAAAATAATGACTGTAAAATATAATTGATTATTTCCCTTATTATAATATGAACCAATCAAAAGCCTTGATTTTCGAATAAATTTCGTTTAAATTAGCGATTAAATCCCTAGAACTATTTAACAGCGATTAAATTTTAGCCTCCATATTGGATTTTTGTTTACGATTTTATGGTGTTATTTACAAGTTTTAACAAACATTTTTTAAAAAACAATAAAAAATAAGTTATCTAGTTTACGAAATATCAATTATTACTTATTACATACCTTAAATTAATGGAATTTTCTTTAAAAAAATATTTATAAATTTTGACACATACGTCAGATTTTATGAATTGTCAAATAGTTTCCTTTAATTCGAGAAATAATCTAGACGTATATCACTCAACCTATAAATTTAATCTGTCAAACTATGCTCAGTAAGTTTTTTATTTGATTTTTCTTTTTGGAAAATAGTTTCATGCAAAATAATTAAAAATAAAACCCCTCGACCGCTACGCGGTCTCGTGATTTTATTAAATTATTTTGCATTTAACATTTTCCAACAAAAACCAAACAAAAAACTACTGAGCCTAGTTTACCCGATTAAATTCATAGTTCTCGTGATATAATATATGAATAATTTATTTTTTGAAAATATATTTCTACCCTATTTTTATTAATCCTGTAAATCGCTTTTTAGTTTTTAGTTTAGTACTATGGGAACAAAAAAAATGTTTACTTACGAGCTTATGTAATTTTTTTTATATTATGTCTATTTATAATAATAATTGCTTTTTAAACATGCACTTAAGTAATGGTAAGGCACATTATTTTTAAATTTACCTTGAGACCAATTTAACTGCTTGGATAAAAATAAGTTTCCTTCAATTTAAAGACCTCAAATTCAAAACAAATTGATTTGAGATTTAAAAGACTCTTAAAAGTATAATTATTATTATTATTACTTTAAAAAGTTTATTTTGTTCATATTTTGAATATTTTTTTAACTATTATAAGTAATAGTGAAAATAATAGAGGCAAAAATTATTTTGTTTCATACCTACTTCAATTAAAAATATTTTTGGCCTGTTACTAAATAATGAACAAAATTGTTTTCACATCTCAAAAAGGTTATTAAATAAATAAATACATTTTTTTTTAAATGTATGATCTACATAATATGTAATATATTATTAAAAAACTGCCTAAGGTTTACTTTGCGACTATTAGATTAACTAATCATATTTGCGACCTAATTCTTAGCTTTATAGTGTGCTAAAAATTTAACTTAAAGCTTTATTCGGTCGTGTTCATTATACGAGGTGTGTTCAGAAAATATGGGGAATTTTCGTTTTTTGAAAGAAATATTTATTTATTCGTCTACATTAATGTTGTCGCCTTCGAAATAGTCCCCATTGGATATTATGCACATGTGCCAGCTCTTCTTCCAATACTCGAAACACTTCTAAAACTCGATCTTAGGGATAGCCTTTAGTTCTTTCAGCGATGCGCTTTTAATGTCATCTATGCTTGCAAAACGACGGCCCTTTAAGGTTCTCTTTATTTTTGGGAATAGGAAAAAGTCAGACAGAGGCATGTCTGGCGAATATGGAGGCTGGGGCATGATTGTTTTTGGCCAAAAATGTTGTTTAAAATTAAACAATTTTAAAACAAATTTTGCTGCCACGCGTTTCATACCCAAAACATTTGAAAAAATTTCATGGGATGAGCCAATCGATATATCAACATCATCAGCGACTTCTCTGATGGTTTACACCCATTTCTTCCACTTTTTCCATGTTTTTATCGGTTGCAATGTGCTTGTGCGTTCGGGGCGTTCGTCATCTTCAAAGTCTTCACGGCCATCTTGGAAACTCTTAAACCACTTGTAAACTCTTGTTTTACTTATAGCAGACTTACTATAGGCCTTTGTTAACATTTTACAGAATTTATTTAATTTTTTAAGCAAAATTGGATACAAATTTATTTGATCCTTTTCTTTTAACGAACGAAAAATCGCCGAGCTCATAAAACACGTCTAACTTTAGCGGCTGCCGCAGACAAAGTAAACAATGAAAACAGATTATAGTTTTTATCATACTTCGGGGGCATGTATACCAACATAATTAAGAAAATTTTATGACAACAGGACCCTCCAAACCCGTGAAATTTAACAATTCCCGTTATTTTCTGAACACACCTCGTAAGTTGAAGTATTTTTATACAAAATTTTTAGAGTTAGGATTTTTTTACTTATTATGCGTTAATTTTGACGGGCAGTGTATTTATTATATTATAAATTAAATTTAATAACATCCTTAAGGATGTTATTTTCATCGAATTATTATATTATTTATAACAAGCGAACTTTTTTGAAACATTTAAACATGTTTTGAGTACTAATTAACATTACTTTGTAATGAAAAGGCAACCGAGAAGGCAACTTAACTTTGTGTAAAATACTTGAGTGTAAAACCACTTCATTACCTACTTACTAAAAAAGTATACTTTTAAAACAATGGCTTAACATTATGAACCTAAATTAGAGTTTGTGCTTAATTTTTTTAACACCTGTTTTAGGAGTTAAGTATTAGTTAGGTGTAATGCAAGGGGAATTTTTTTGTTTATTTTTTAAATATGTATTGAAATTGGTACCTATTTAAAAATTTGTTTAATAAAAAGTTGTCGCTTAAAGGAAATTTAATTTTGCGAATTTCATTATCAAAGTATATACGCGTACTTTTTTATTACAAATAAATATTTTTTTTTTAATTTGTTTAGTTAAGTTTACCTAATGAACTATATTTTAATCGAAAAAAAAAAGGTTTTTATAGGTATTTTGTGCGTTTTATATGGTCAAAAAGCACCGTTTTGCAGAAATTATTCAAAAATTGTTTTATTAAAAAAATATCTATAATTTTGTTTCTTTTTAACTAAAAATTAAAAAAAATTAAGTTTTTATTTTTGCCATTTTTTTTAAATTTAAAAAATCGTTAAAACTGACGCAAAATATGCTTGCACAGTAATCTACATTCATTAAAAATTTAGAATGTACCACCTAAGGTACCTTTTTTATTAAATTTTCAGTGTCTTATTGGGACAAAAACCTACGATTTGTCAAAGTAATGAGATTATTTTTATTTACAAAATAAACTTTTTTTACTGCTTATAAAAAATCATTTACTATAATGAAGCAGCTTTTATCCAACAAAGTAATTGTTGTTATCATACTCTCATAGTCCAGTCATATAGGCATTTCACCTCGGAATCTAACGGAATAAGCTGAATTTTTGTACAAACCTATATTTTACCATTGCAAATGTTGCCTCAAAAGTCACATATGCCAACGTGTGAGCGACCTTAGATATTCAAGGTCAAAGGTCGCAAAAATCAATTTTTTGAGAATATCTCCTTTTCTCTGCCTCCTATCGTATTTGCATTTATTATACAAGTTGTAGAGAATAAAATTCTCTACAAATTTTGTTTAAAACATTTTTTTATACGTCTAATCGTTTTTGAGATAGAAGGCGCAGAGTGTGGAGCGCTCAGCTATAAGTACCTTTAGCGCAAGGTAAATCATGAATCCCAATCTATTATACCGTTTTTTTAATTAAATATTTATTAAATATTACTTAAATAACAATTTAATACCTTATATGTATTTTTATATATTTTTTAAATCAAATAGTCATTAAATATTACTTACTTTTGAGATACAAATAATTAAATAATGAAGTGAATCATTCTAAGTATATTCTAATGTTCTTCTAATTAATGATACATGTATTTTAAGAAGAAGACATTAAATGAATTTGCTTTAAATATGTCTCTGGTCATCTCTTGGATCCAGATATTGCTTTTAAAATAACAGACCTGGAAATACTATAGTGGGCTTGCTATAAATAAAAAGGTTAGGGTCACAACTTGCTTTAAAATTTAATATAGGTATATATACCTATATTAAATTTTAAAGCAAGTTGTGACCCTAGGTATAGGTCTAGGGTTGTGACAGGTAATATTCGTAATATTTTAAAGGTTAACATGGCTGATTTGTGTTTTATTTGTAATAAGTTACTTTCTGAAAGTGATTCTGTGACTTTTGTGCGCGGTATAAAGACTTTAAAAGAAGCAATTATTGAGAGAAATAAACATAAACTACCTAAATACTTTGAATTCTGTGAACGTTCATATTGAGTGTCGAAAATTGTACGCTATAGCGTACTATAGTAAAATTGCAGCAGCAAAACGTCGCCTTGAAGAGACTGGACCTTCAACGTCATCAACTGTACCTCGTAAAAAAGGGAATGATGTGTTTGATTTTAAAATATTGTGCTTATTTTGTGGTGAAGTCGCTGATGAGGCAACAAAGGCAAAAAAATCTGCAAAGTATAAAGCGTTATAAGTAAGTTTTTGAAGATATGACAATTAATGTCAATGATAACGAGGAGAGTGATGATGAGAATGAGTCTAAAATTGCTGGCCAACCTGAAGAAGACGAGGATGAAGAAGATAAAGATTAATAATAATAAATATAATAATATTGATATAAATAAAAACATTTATTTCCTACTCCGATTCAATTATCCTTCATTAAAATTAAATTAAAATATAAGATATATATGGAAATAAAATATATTTGATTTAAAAGAAATATAAATATAAGTATAAGGTATTAAATTTTTATTTTAGTAATATTTATTATATAATTAATTAAAAAAAACGGTATAATAGATTGGGATTCACGATTTACCTTGCGATAAAGGTACGTATGGCTGAGGGCTCCACACTCTGCGCCCTCTATCTCAAAAACGGTTCGACGTATAAAAAATTTTTGTAAACAAAATTTGTAGAGAATTTTATTTTCTGCGACCTTTGACCTTGAATATCTAAGGCCGCTCACACGTTGACATATGTGACTTTTGAGACAACATTTGTAATGCTAAAATAAAGGTTTTCACAAAAATTCAGCTTATTCCGTTAGATTCCGAGGTTGATACCTTTTTTAGACTAAGATGACTGTACTATCATGGCAATAAGAAATACTTTATGTTTATGGGTGATTCTACAAAAGTTGGACAACTTGATGTCATCAGTCAATAGAGTAGGTATTTTAATATTTTTTGTAAATATTTTAGTATATTACAAAAGATCCAGGTTTTTTTAGCTTGTCCACCCAATTTTAATGTATTTTTTCAAAAGCACGTTTGTAAAAAAATATTCAAAACATCAGTACTTTGGCGTGTCACAACTCCTGAACCAAATATTTGAGTGATTTTATTTTAAAATATATTCAATTTATCTTAAATTTTTCAATTTTAATACAAACTATAAAACATTAAATAATGTATTCTTCATATTTTATCATAGATTCGAAAAATAGCAATTTTTAAAAAATTGATAATCTTTGTACTCACTTTTACCCGTCAGTTCTGTGTCCAATGTTAAAATTCAAAATTCCTGCGAAATATTGAAGTTTAAACGTCAAGTCCTCGTTTTAACTCAAGTGTTGATAAAGAATTACCTACAGAGCCCGCCCTTTGCACGACAGTCATCTTGAAAACAATGCAAGCGGCGAAGTTGTGGTGAATGTACGTTTGTAGTACCAGTACTCTGGTGAGTAGTTATTTTCTTACGTATATATATTTCATTGTAATTTATATAAGGCTATATGTGATTTGTTGATAAGTAGCATCCACTAATAAAAAATATCAGTAAAATACTTAATTCCGAATTGTAATCTCAAATTTGTATCCCATTCATCAGTACCGTGTCGTCAGTTCCATGTTCGATGTTTCGGTTATCTTTTTTTCGCAAACTTCAATTTAAATTCTGCTTGCGCAGAACTTGTTTATTTATTGTCATTATAAACTCATATAAATTTGGTGTGGGTCCCGTATCTAATAATTGAGATATCGGTATACCCAAAATCCACCAGCCGCCACTGATGTGTGGTATTATTAGATTTTAAGATATTTAATGTATAATATGCTCAAAATTGCAATAAATCTTATATTTTCCAATACATTATGTATTTAATTAGTACCCTGGTATACTCGTCACTTCCCTTGCATTCAAATTTAGAAAACACAGATATTTCAGAAACTGTTTGAAAAAGTGACTGGCCCGGTCTGGAACAGTATATTAATTATATTTTCTATGTTTTCATAACAATGAAACTATATAAACAAAATGAGGTCAAAAGTTGCCCAACTTTTGTAGAATCACCCTTATTTTAAATCTTTGTCGAACTTAAAATGTTTTTGTTAAATCTGACATAAAGTAATGCGCAGTTGTTATAGTAAAATTTGTTCATTTTACTATGGCATATTTGTCTTTTTTAAATTAGGTACTATCGTTGTAATTCAAATTAATTTTATTTCAGTTTGAAAATCTTTGCTAATAGCTTACGTTAGGAACAATAACAAACATATTTTATTGCTATAAAAAGACTTTTTTAATATTCACTATTGTTTTGCAATGGTAACAAAATTTTTGTTATTTCCCTTAAAAGAGGGGGAAAGGGCCAGCGCTCTCCTTGGCGATCATAACTTTATATTCCACAGTCTGTGTTGTAATCTTATTGATTTTACTTGTGCGAGTGAAGTGTGGTAAAATCTAGCATGATAAAAATATCAAAAAGATCACTAAGGGCCGGTTTTTCAATCATAGTTTAAACTGGGTTCAGCATTTGAACTTGGTTCAGACAAAATATGCCGTTTTTCAATCAAAGTTCAAGCTTGAATTTGGTTTAAACTAAATCAAAAGATGAACCGTCACTGTTGGCTGTTTAAACGAAGTTCAACTTGACATAACCTAATTTTTCTCTGCTTTATTGTGTATTACGTTGCAACGCGTTGTTTATTTCTTGTTTTGTGATCTGCTATTCCAAACCTTTTGTACGTAGGATAGTGAATTTAATTAGACCAGTTATTGCAAATCCGACTAATAGGTTAGTTATAAAAATAATAACTGAATAGGTAATAGATTTTAGTAAAATTCATCACATGTAACAAAAAACGACAAATTCATTTTATAATATAAAACGAAATACATACAAATAATTCCTCCTTAAAAGAGGTAAAGTTGGCAGCACGATTTTTATCCATAATAAATATTAATTATTGTTCTTTAACAATAGTAAATTATGTTGTTTATAATAATAGTAAATTGTTTTAAAGCATGCACCCTTTCGCACAGATTAGAACTTTTTAAGACAGCACAGATAAACAAAACTCCAAAAGTAAACACAAAATCCTTTTGTCAAAATGGCAGTTTTAACTACTATTAATGTAGGCGTATACTAAATTCGGTTGTACCAACTTAACGTTGACACCGCTGATCCAAGTTCAACGGAACTGCTGTTGAGTCGACATTGAAAAACTCATTTGACTGTGAACTGAGTGCATTAACTGATCTAAGGTTTAAACCCTAATTGAAAAAACCGTTTCCTAAAATAGCTCCAAGGTGCTTAACGTGGTAACTTGTTTCAGGAAACTTCGGGGTAAGCTACCAGGACCTGAGCGCGTTCGAAAAATACGAACCTTGCGACGAGTACCGCAGTCCTCTCATCACACGATTCATAAAGAACAAGATGCACAGGCGACAAACCGTCCTCGCGACACCGAAAACCCTAAATATAGATCAAGACCGCGCTAAGTTTAGACCGGCGTCCGCTAGTGAACCCAACTTGAATCAGGCAGTGTCGGAAAATCTAGTGGATTGCGCCAGTGTCCCGAGAGATTTGAATTTGGTCGGCGAGTCTAGTGGAGGGTCGGTTGCTGCGAAAAACTGGGATCTAACAGATTTAAGTGTCGGTGATGAGACAGTACTAGTAAAGTGCGACGACGATATGGCGAAAGTTAAAAGAGAAGGTAGCTACGACATGGCAATGACCAACAGAGTTGATTTGACAGACGATGAAGATAGTTTTTGCTATACCAGGAAGCTACCGAAGACCGCCATAGTGGAGTTTGATAAAAAAGTCTTGAAGGCAATATCGGAGCAAAGTATTCAGAGCATCATGGCTAGTAGTGGCAACTTAACAGAGACGTATTTAAACGAAATCTACGACGTTGCTAAAAGCACGCCCAATTTGGTTATGAACGAAAACGAACTCATTGACAGATACTTGGAGGAGGAGAGAAGAAAATCGACTCTAGATGTGCGCAGAAAAAACTCCATAATCAAATCATCAACCAGCACCAGCGGAATGTCAGATCTCGAAGATAAAACTTTAACCTCTTGTGGTTCGGTGGCTTCCAGGGGTGTCCACTTCAGTCCGGTTGTGTCGGAAGTGAACTGGCGAGATGACGACAGCGTTTCGACGGCAACGCCAGAGCGCGAAAGTAGCGTCTACAGCTTTGAAAGCACCCCAGAGAGAGATTTAGTGCAACGGAAAAAAAAACTATCAACTTTGGCCCAAAGGCTCAGCGTCAGTCAACCGGAACTGTCAGATACCGAGAACTGTAAGCGAGATTTCGTGGACTCTTTGAAAAGTTTGAGGCAGGATTTGAGCAAGAGTCAGCCGGATTTCAACCGGTTGAGACGCAAAGGTGGGTACTACGGGGCTACTAACAAAAACTAAAATATTTTACCTACTAATAACCCTAAAAAATACCAGGCGTATAGTAATTATGACTTACGAGTAACATTTACCATTAAGTAAAAATTCTGACGTTAAAATTACCGTTAAATGTTCCTTTAGGTGAAATACACTTATAAGTAATTTTCTTTCGTAAAAATTACGTCCCTCATAAAACTACATAAAACTACTAAGAGAATAACGTAATAAAAACAATATAAATACCACAAATTTACGTAAAAATAACGCTATAATTACCAACTGTTTGCTCTCCCTTTCTAAAACATTGACATCCGTAATTTCTTTGTTTTTTTAATTTATATTTCACAAAATGGTACTTACAAAGTAATAAAGGGCACCCAAGAGTAAAATTAAAAAATATAACTTAAATTGTCAAAACTAATAATATTTTGCATTAAAACTCAAACTCACATTATTTTATTGATAAAAATAGGCGCGATACATCTTAAAAATTATATGCCCTCTAAATATTTTGCGGTTTTAAGAAAAATTATTGCTTGGGTAAAAATTCAACAAAACTTGAAACCCACAAAATTTTATAAAATCTGATAAAAATCATTTAGTTTTAATCATTTTTTAATATCTAAAACTTTCCTTATTATATTTTAGAAAAATATTTATGAAAAATATTATATAAATGTTTAGATAAATAATGGATGCCATCTTAAAAAACTCACTTTAAGCTTTTTATTCTTTGTTTAGTCAATATTAATAGTATTTATTACCACTAATAACCCTAAAAAATACCAGGCGAATAGGAATTATTTACGGTTATAAAGTTGTCTTAATATCGTAAAATTATGACATGAGTAACATTTACCATTAAGTAAAAATTCTGACGTTATAATTACCGTTAAATTTTCCTTTAGGTGAAATACACTTATAAGTAATTTTTTATCGTAAAAATTACGTCCCTCATAATACTTTAAGGGTTAAGGGTTATTAAAATAGGTAAAAATAACATAAATAAAACTTATTAAATAACTTTAAAAAAAGTTTACTTCAAAGTAAATTTTTAAGGTTAATTTAACGAAATATTTACTTAAATTAAGTAATATTTCCTCAAAGCTCTACGCTTTTACTTAAAATGCTGCTTTGGATACTATAGGCACTTTATCTACTCATATTGCATAAAATTGTTTTTTTTTTTACAAAAATTTTGACTTTTCAGATTTACATATTAAAAATAATTTATAATAATAATGCGCATAATCTCGAATGTAATCTCAAGCAGCATTTTACATTTAAATAACTACAAATTTACTACTAAGTCAACTTTAAAGTATTTTTTACGGTTAACAAAACGATTTTATAACGGTATAGATACGAAAAATTACCAAATTTGGGGAATGGTTTATTTCGTTATTTTACCTACATAATAACCTTTTTGATCTATTAAGAGAATAACGTAATAAAACAATATAAACACCACAAATTTTCGTAAAAATAACGCCATAATTACTAACTGTTTGCTCTCTCTTTCTAAAATATTGACATCCGTAATTTCTTTGTTCTTTTAATTAATATTTTACAAAATGGTACTTACAAAGTAATAAAAACCACCCAAGAGTAAAATTAAAAAATATAACTGAAATTGTCAAAACTAATAATATTTTGCATTAAAACTCAAACGCACATTATTTTGTTGATAAAAATAGGCGCAATACATCTTAAAAATTTTTACGGTTTTTTACGGTTTTAAGAAAAATTATTGCTTGGGTAAAAATTCAACAAAACTTAAAACCCACAAAATTTAAAAAAAAAATTTAAAAATCATTTAGTTTTAATCATTTTTTAAAAACCACAACTTTCCTTATTATATTTTAGAAAAATATTTATGAAAAAATATTATATAATTGTTTATGACATACATTGTATTTTCCCTGTTTAATCATTATTAATAGTATTTATTACCACTAATAACCCTAAGTATTTATTACCACTACTAACCCTAAAAATACCAGTCGAATAGGAATTATTTACGGTTATAAAGTGGTCTTAATATCGTAAAATTATGACTTATGAGTAACATGTACCATTAAGTAGAAAATCTGACGTTAAAATTACCGTTAAATTTTTCTTTAGGTGAAATACACTTATAAGTAATTTTCTTTCGTAAAAATTACGTCCCTCATAATACTTTAAAGTGTTGAAACTTAAGGGTTATTAAAATAAGTAAAAATAGCATAAATAAAACTTATTAAATAATTTTAAAAAAGGTCCAGAAACTAATGCCTAACAAATTTTTATTTGATTTTATATTTCGTTGTTTTATTTATTGACAGATTTCAAAATGTTTGAATGATTTTATTTAGTAGTTTTAATACTACAAAATGTTGAGCAATAACTCACACCCCTTTTATTCTACCACCTCAATTATTTTTTTTATTTTATTTTATAAAAAGTTTTAGCGTTTGTTTTCATAGTAAAAAAAAATGTTAATATTCACTTACCAGCAAATAAACCAACAAATTGTCAAATCTGTTACTTCTTTTAATTAAACCAAAGGTTTTAAAGCCTTCTTAATTTATTTACTTTAAAACCTAATAAACATTTAAATTCAATTAAAAGTTTGAAAGCGATATTATTTAAAAATGCATTAATATTTGGTATCAAATTTTAAAAAAAGATTTCTTTTGACCAACGAACCACCCTCTTTTATTAAAAAAAATAGTTTTGGCATAAAGTATGGTTTTTCAATTTTTGGACGCTCCTAAAAACCAGAAAAAAAAATTATTCTAACAACTTGTAAACGATCCCAAAACGTTTTGTTCAAATATCCCACACGACGCAATTTACAAACAAATAAAACTTGTATAATATCACAGTCTGTGTATAATATGGAAAACAAACTAAAATCTCTGACTCATACATTTTACGACATTTTATTAAAAATGATTGTAATGCTTCTTAGTGCTGTCATTAGAAATATTAATAACACCAACTTAAAATTTTGACAGCAGAGAACTGTTTCACAAAACTATCTATTCTTTGTTCTTTTATAATGAAACATACATGTACGGAAAAATGGTGGATTTCTGTTTAATAAATAATATCTTTTTTATATGAACATATAAAGTCAAGGACAGCAGAAAAGGGGTGGATAGAGGATGGGATTCTAAGTCGAATAGTTTTTGCCGTTTTTTGATCAGAGCTTTCTCTGTCAGACGTACGAAGTTGAAACTTGACGGACCGATAAAATGTCATAATTTTCGAATTATAATTGGACCAATAAGAGCGCTCCCGGATGAACGGACTGACGGACAAACGGATACATGAAAATTAAGCTTAATAAGTTATTAGTAAAATAAAGTAGCCAATCACAGGCGTGCTCTAGCAGAATGATTAGAGGTGGGACAACACAAACTTTTGTGGAAATTCCATGGCTATGAACGTATTATAGGTATTGTGAAATGACCTTAATTTTATTTTTCACTGTCACTATCAGTGTTTTTGTTCATGGGACAAATACACCTTTTCTTTTTGTTATTTTTTTTTAACTTGCGACTTAATAAATAAATTAATACAAGGTTGATGGTGATGTAATTTTTTAATAAGTTAAAATAATCATTTTATTAATATTAATAATAGTTAATATTAACATTATTATTTAATGAGAGATATTTGAATGAAAATGTAATATTCACAATCCACACAACAAACCCTGTTTTATCTTGTTTTGCGCATACTAAAAATCACTGAAACACTGCACAGAATTTAACGGCGGCCATTTTTATGTTTATACAGATTAAAACTCGTTTTAAACGTTGTAATTCATACAGAGGCACTTGTAAGCCTCAAAAGAGGCCTTTAAGTGCTAAGAACAACCATTTTAAGCCTTATTCTATCAGGGCTGTCATCAAAATATCAAATTTAAATTTGTGGGTTATGATAAATTAACCTTAAAATTGAAATTTGACAGTTTAATGACAGCCCTGATAGAATAAGGTTTATTTTTACCAAAAGAGGAGTAAAACGGTTGTTCTTAGCACTTTTAGGCTTACAAGCGCCTCTGTAAGAAACACAACGTTTAAAAGGATTATTAATCTGTATTAGGGCCACCAATTTTCCCTAAAAAAAGAATGTCTCAAGTTAAAACTAACCTAAAAACTAAAACACTGACAGTGACAATGTCAACCATATAATTAAGGTCATTTTACACTACTATATTAATATAGAATTAAACTTTAATCTTTAAACTATTATCTAATAAATGCTAAAACAGCGTTGTCTTTACTTACATTTAAAAAGTTTATTTTCGAAATGGTGACATTTATATTTTTCTCGATACCGAAAAATATAAACTAGTTCAATGTGGTTTACAACGTGTTTTATGTTTTGAAATTCCGTGATGTCAAAGAAATTATATTTAGACAGTCTGGCCGAATTTTCAGTATTCCAAAAATATCCAAACCTATACTCCTCTACCAACGTTAATTGTATTGTGCTATGTCCATTCATAAGTTTATAAAAAATAAAACCAAGTTCATAATATAAATACCTACCTATGTATTAATTTTCCAAATTCAGAAATCGTCAAAAGAAAGTTACTAGTTTTATTGTTTTTTTACAGCATAAATATGACGAATGAAACATTAAATACAACTGATTTTGGTTTTTACCCAAAACCAATCAATTTAATCTAATTATTACCATAATAATCCAATTGAAGGCTTTCTAGTTGCCAGTAAATTTGAATATTTTAGCACATTTAGTCTAATTTTAGTTAAAACCTTATTACACATTGTGCAAAAATGAAAAAATATTATAAAGGTAATATTTAGCTTTTAAATATTTTCTACTTAATTGTTGATTTGAATAAATTAAGCGCCATATTATTAGTATCACAGCATAAACACTTTGTGCTGTGTTAGTATCATAGGCAAATGCGTTTCTTTATAGTATTCTGGGTTGCAT